AGGGAAAGATAAAAACAAAGAACAAACTCAGGTAAGTCTGACTTTATAGTTCAGTCTTTCTAATACTACAACTAATGTTCAGTGAATGAATACTCTGTAAGCAAATTTGGATGAAATTCAAGATCCCCTCACTAATAATTTTTATGATTTTATAATTTTATTTATTGGGCTGTCTGCAGTCATGATACATTTTTACATAGAAAAATATGTCATGACTTTCCAGACAACCTATTAACAATCACTAAAAATGTACCCAAAATATTTATATCAAACTTATGTGAACAAATTAAAAAAGAAATCAGAGAAGTCTGAAATCAACTGAATCAGCTGTCAGTTGCTAGTATTGGGTCATCAGAAACGTTAGGATGTATTTTTTTTTCTATATTTTTCTATGCAAAAATGCATCATGACCTTTCTGACAATCCAGTATTAGGTTCTCAAAAGGACTGGGGCCTGTTTTTAATTCTCAGAGTAAAGAAGATACACAGTATTTCCCAGGCCAATTTGAATAACACAAAGAGGATGAGGGAAAAAATGTTGAGAACTTTTCACTTTGGTCTTTTTCTAAACCATGGTATCTGTAGTTCATCCCTAACCTTCTCCTAATTCTCTTTGGTGACTAGGAGTACATTAAGGGTCAGGTCCCTACTTCTGGCCTACCTAAACAAACCCCAAAATTTTGTGTTATGTTTTACTTTTTGTTGAGTTGATCCTGTCATCACCTATTCATCAGGTGACTATTCTTAGTCCTTACATTTCTCACTCCGCAGCAGGAGATGGTTCGTTCATTCATTCATTCATTCATTTATTTTTGGAGAGGTTTTTGCTAGAGGGCATATGATCTCACCAGAAAGACAGAGACAGAAAGCAAGAAATCACCTCCCAGGGGGGATGGCCACACCGAAATCCCTTCTCCTGTTCTCCTCTTGGGATCTTGGGCATGCATGCACACGTGCCCAGCGTAAGTTTAAGCCACTGATTCCGGGACCACGGTCAACTACATGGGAGTCCAGCAACATAGCCATTATGCCAACTGCTGGTCCCTACACCAGGAGATGGTTCTTGACCACTCTTCCCTAAATATCAATCATTAAAACTATCTTTTCTCCTAGAATTCACCTTTAGGACTAATAATATTCCCTGTAGTTTGGAAAAAGGTAGGCATGGCTATTTGAAGTCCAAAGGGAAATTGGGGAAACAATGCAATGAAAGTAGAACGACTATAGAAGCAGAGGCAGGATTAGACTAATTGGGTCATTCTAATGCAAAATTATTCAAATGTTATCTGCACACCTATACTGAATGAAATCCTGTGACCAAGAGACAAATGCAAAAGAAAACATTAGAAATACTTTTAAACTCCTAATACTTACTTTGGCTCTCAGTTCTGAAGGGCAATGATTCATAGGCTTCAAAACTTTGAGAGAAGGCTAAGTTATCTGCAGTCCATAGCTGTTAGCATAGTACATCATCCTCTTATCAGTCAACAGTTACCTAGAACACTCACACAATGTACAGTCTGAAAAGTCACATGAAACTAAGTGAATCCTAATGTGCTGATTCTGTGAGGGATTTCGGTACACTGTCCTACTGTAACCACCCCTACTTCAAACTTCTCCAAGAGACAGACACTATCCTGCAAAGCTCTTATGAACAGCAAGGGGTAGTCTGGGGGCAAACAAGAAATATACCTTAAAAAAGGAGGGAGACTTCATCACAAAAATCTTTAAAAGTTCCCATGTTTTTTCATGAAAACAAACATTCCTAACATCCTTACCAGTAAACAACATCCAGTGGTGCAAAGTAATTTTTCATTATCAGGTCAGCAAAATAAGCTTCTGTTTCCCGGCAGGCAGTTCCATTTCCAATCACCACAGTGCTGCAGCTTCAAGGGGGAAACAATGGGAAACTGAGTGAGTTCAATGCATGCTTTGAAATCAACCAGAGAAAATGTACAGAATGCACAAATATTATTCTGCAATGCTCTTATTCACTCACACATATAAGCCATCTCTCCATTGTTTCACAAGAGAAACAGATTTATGTGGAATAATAGGCACTACCCCTGCATTTGACATATGAGGGACTGAAGAAATATTTCACTATCATACAATCTCAAAAAGAATCGGCTTTCTGCACATCTGGAAGAAACCAAGACTAGACATGCAAGTAAACTCTAGAGTATTCTAAACCATAATTAAGATGTTACAACCAAATTATATGATACGTGGTCAATCTCTGAAGCTTCTATCCTCAGACCTATAAAAAGTGAAGTGAGTGAGGGAGGAAGGATAAAACCCCAAAGAACAAGAACTAATGCTACTTTTCCCATACTACCACCTTTATTTGTGAAGGTGGCAAAGAAAGGGAGCCTTCCTCCAGGGTTTCCATAGGAAGAGCTCTGCAGCAATTTGCCCTGGCATTGGTTTACATGGTTCCTTTGCTTTTACCAAGGTACTTCCTTTAATTCTCTCCAGATTAAGGACCCAAAGGTATCTCTGACTGGTGGAGCCACTGAAGTACTGAAAAGATTATTTATTTTCATACTTGAAATTCAGCAAAAGCTTCTTTATTTTCTCTGCCTCTCGGAAGCCTTGCCCACAGTGCAAGTAAACCACATCAGTATGAAGTATCTGACCTTAAAAAATAAAAATAAATCATTTTGTAAGAAATGATGAAACACAACACATCAATAATTCAATTAACAAAGTGTAACAGAAAAGGGGACTGGCTTGTCTTTTAAAATGCATCCTAGGGCTGGCTCCATAGTACAGTGGTAAAACGCTGCTCTCAACAAAAGATGGATCCCACATATTGACCACAGTTTGAATTCCCAGTCTCGTTAGCCTGAAACATGCTGGGCATGCACACAAGTGTCCAGGATTTAAGGTGATGGAAAATTGGAGGAGGAAGGGGATTTCAGTAGGAAAAAACCCTGTGGAGGGTGCTCGTCTCCCTCTCTCTCTGCTCCCTTCTCTGTCATCTGTGCACACATGCTCTATCAAGAACAAAGGCGAAAAAAAACCTTTAAAATGCACTGTGAATCATTCATATTCATGAAAGAGATTTTCTGTAAGTATTATGAAACAGTTATTACCCAAGTCACAAGGACCCTTATTTTTTATTTTCAGAGGTTTTTGCTATAGGGTATATGTACTTGCGAGAGAGAGGAATAATGAGAAATTATCTCCCAGGGGGATTAGGGGAGAGGGGATGGCCATGCTGCAATCCCTTCTCCTCTACTCTCCTCTTGAGATTTTGTAATGTATGCACCCAGCATGTTTCTCAAGTTGCCATGTCTGGGGCTGGAACTGTGGAATCAGCCATATGGGCTCCAGCATCTCATCCACCATGCCATCTGCTGGCCTGCAATGAGGACTCTCTTTTGCCACACAAAATCCTTAACTAGATAATATGCCAAGATATCTAAGAGAGAAATGGCTTTCAATAACATCTAATATTAAGAAAAACCAGGCCAGCTGGTGGCATGACGGTTGGGGCAACTAGATCCAACATGGCTGACTGTGGTTCAAGTCCTGTACCAGATGCTTGGGCATGTGGGTATGCATGCCCAAAATCCCAAGAGGAGAATGGAGGTGAAGGGATTGTGGCATAACCATCCCTTCTAGGAGGTGATTTCTCATTTTCCCTCTCCTTCTTTCTGTCACTCAGCACACATAACCTATAGCAAAACTGAAACTAAAAATAATAATAAAAACAAACATTTACTCAATACTTACTATATCTTATTTACTATATACTACTACATTTGTCACTATTGTGATACTATTCTATTTCTTCTTTTTGGTTGTAGATATGAAGGCACTACTTCAAAAGTTGATGGAAAATGGAATTAAAAATACAAGTTTATATTGGTGCAAAATTTTAAAATCATACATAGTTTTTGCATAATAAGCATTCCATAAACTTTGTGAAGATCCCTTATAAATTTGCTACCTTAAGTAATTCTTTGAGCTGCATATTTAAGAATTACAAACTATTCTGTATCTCATTATACAGGAAATATTTTATTTTTAATGAAAATTTTTATTTTAATTTAAAATATTATTTTGAATCTGAGGGTAATCACCTAAAGTTGAGAAATAATGAACTAAGGGGCCAGCAGATAGTGTGGTAGTTAAGGCAATAGCCTCCCACACGGCTGACCACAGTTTGAATCCCGCACTTGGCAGCTTGCTTTCTCACTCACCTCTCTCTTTCTCTGTCTCTTTCTGACCAAATTAAAATAATAATAAATGTAATTAAATAAATATTTTTTTAAAAATAATGAACTAAGTGACCAATTTAGGAAGTCAGGAAAAGAATAAAGAAATGTCCTTTAAAAAGCAGAAGGTAGAAAATGACAAAGCAGTTAGCATAATAGCTATGTTGCTGGACTCCTAAGTAGCCGACTGAGGTTTGAGCCCCAGACCCGGCGGCTTAAATTCAGGCCGGGTATGTGTGCGTGCGTGCCCAAGATCCCGAGAGGAGAATAAAGAAGAAGGGATTGCGGTGTGGTCATCCCCCTTGGGGGGTGATTTCTTGCTTTCTGTCTCTCTGTCTCTCTCTGTCTTTCTGGCAAGCGCACATGCCCTATAGGGAAAACCTCTCCAAAAAAAAAAAAAAAAAAGAAAGAAAAGAAAAGAAAAGAAAATGATAAAGCTAAAAGCAGAAATAAAGAAATAGAAGAAAATATATCATAGAAAGGATCAACAAAGTTTAGTTAAAAATAATTTATAATAAGGCACATACTTTTAGCAATACCACAAAAAGAAAAGCAGGAAATAAATATGAACATATAAACATAATAGTTAATGCCTAAAGAAAAACAGAAGATAAAAAAAAGAAAAAAACTTTTTTTCTTTTTGGAGAGGTTTTTTTTTCGCTATAAGGTACATGCGCTCACCAGAAAGACAGAGACAGACAGAGACAGAAAGTGAGAAATCAGCCCCCAAGGGGGATGATCATGCCGCAGTCCCTTCTCCTCCATTTTCCTCTTGGGATCTTGGGCACATACGCACACACACCCAGCGTGAGTTCAAGCCACCAGGTCCAGGACTCGAACTGTGGTCGACTACATGGGAGTCCAGTGACATAGCCATTATGCTAACTGCTGGTCCCCAAATAAGAAGAAAACTTTAAAAGATCAAAATAAAAAGGTTAAGAACTGTAATTTAATTTAAATGTATTTATGTATTTCTTCCATGAATAAGAAACAAAGAAAAACTGACAGCATCCCCAAAACAGTCTCAATGACTCAATCCATCCTGCCTTCAGGCAGCCCTGAAACATGGGCAAGTGTATGTCCAGTGTACTCAGGGAGTGTTTCAGACTTGAATCCTGAACCTTCCCATTTAGGTTTGCCCTGAAGAGCATTGTGGCTTTTTACCACTGCACCACTGTCTGGCCTCCTAAAAATGGAACTTATTTTTAAATTAGCAAATGGAAATTCCAAAGTTGAGAAACCAGTAACTTAAATCAAGAACTCAGGAGATGGATTTAATAGCAAATAAGACATAACAGGATTAATTAGCTTCCACAGTTAATAATAGAAAACAAAAGAATGCAAATTGGAAAAGAGGCTGAATAGTCAAATATACATGAAATTACAGTTCCATGAAAAAATGCTAGAAGCTCTGCATACTCTAAGTAGAATTCATGCCAGAAAACAAAAAACAAAACAAACAAACAAAAAAAACACAGATATACAAATACTTAAGCACATCAGATGAAAACCACAAAGAGAAAATCTCAGCAGCCATGAGGAAAAATATCTATAATCATCAAAAGAACAATATAAGCGTTTTGGCTGAATTTTTAACCAAAACTGTAGTAGCCAGAGACAAGAAAATAAAAATGGAATGACATCTTTAAAATATTGAAGGTAACTGCCAATCTTCAATTCTACACCTTTCCAAAAAATTCTTTAAAAATGAAGGCAAAATAGACATTTTTCAGACAAATAAAAAGTAGGCAAGTTGCCATCAGCTAAGTCACTCAGAATGGATACAAAACTGTATCCACACGAAAATCACAGGGTTGGTTTCCTGATTGACATGTGCATGTTGGGAGCATGTGCCCAAGACCCTGGCTGGCTGCAAGAGCTAGAAAGGCTCACATTGTGAGACCTGTTGAGGGTGCTTATCTTTCTCTTTCTCTCTCTCTCTGTTCCTGTCTTTCACTTTCATGAAAAAAAGAAACTTTTAAAAAGTAGTAACAGAGTTCTTCAGTTAGTAAGAAAATTATCTCAAATGGAGATACAGAAATGCAGAAAAAAATGAAGGATAATATGGTAAATATATAGTAAAATACAGTAAACAAGAAAAAATTAACTGGATAAAAAATAGTGTCTTGATATTTAAAATGCTTTGTGTATAAATGCATCAAAAACAGAAACATATATAAACAGAAGTTAATATAGGGACAAACAACATCCACATCTGAACCTTATTAATTCTCAAAATCTCCACTGAGACATAGAGAAGAATATAATGATGGTGTGGGGGTATGCAGCCTAGATACCGGAGGTAGTTATCAGTACGCCTCACTAATTACTCGCTAAAACAGGCTGACACATACTTTAATGCCAGGGTCTCTGTGGATCTTATCTGATCTGCGGGGCACAGGAAACATCCTGACCCTAGTTAAGTCAGGTGATGCCTGTTCTATATAATGTTTATGGCTTATACATCATCCTCTTTGATGCATACTCAGCCTTCCTTGGAGTTACAGAGGAATAGTGTAAGTAAACTGGCTTGACCTATGATGCATAATAGGATCACACATGATAGTAACAAGGTCGAAAAACGTCTACACTAAAGTCTGTATCTCTAACTATAGAACTTCAACTACATCCTTGAAAGCTTGCAAACAGTTTACTGCGCCTGGCAAAATGCATAAATAAAGAAGCTCAGCATGACTGAGCAACACAGCTTGTCTGGGTTCACCTACATCTCTGCTTCTGCACCTTTCTTTCCTTCCTTTCTCTAACTTTCTTCTTTCACAGGACCAAGCCTTGAGGGCAGACACTGATATTACTCTTAAGCTTGCCGGTAGATGCCGACGATGATGGTAAGATGTTGAGAGTTTTGATCAACAACTAAAGAGAAATGTGAAGTTTGACTATCTGGTTCCCTGTCCGTATATGTAAGAAAACCATTTTCAAAGTCTTGCAAATTAACATTACTTTCAACTCATCATGAAATGGATGAAGTAAAACATGACCAACCAAACAAACTTTATGTGAAAATAAAAGTTGCGGAGAGAACTTACTGGTAGGAGAAATTATAGCCAATTTGCAACCGTGTTTGTAACCAGGATCTACTCCCATCAAGGTGCGTCCTGGAACAGGGCTTGTTAAAAGAAGCTGACGGAGGTTCCGTCCAAACATCATTACTGATTCCTTCTCTGCATCTGATGTTAGTTTGGCTCTTTACAAATTAAAACAAAGAAAAGGAGAAAAGGAAAACATACTTAGTTTGCATTCACAAAAATTGTCTTCCCAGAAAAGGAGAATTTATTTTGGACAGTTACTCCTGACAGGAGCATACTATAACAAAATAACTTGAGAAAAAAAAATCATAAACAAAAATTACAGAATCTATTTTTGCTAATCACAGTAATATATGATATCACAAACAATTCTGAAACAAACTTTTTGAGTTTGTCCTATCAACACTGTTTCTTAGGATCAGCAGATGGCATAATGGTTATGTTGTTGGACTCCTTGTAGTCAATTGAGGTTCGAGTTCCAAACCTGACAGCTTAAAACTTCATGCCAGGGGCGTGTGCATGTGTGCCCAAACTCCTGAGAGGACAATGGTGGAGGAAGGACTGCAGTGTGGCCATCGCCCCAAGGGGTGATTTTTTGCTTTCCATCTCTCTGTCTCTCTGGTGAGTGTATGTGCCCTATGGCAAAAATCTCTTCTTAAAAAAAAAAATAGCACACCAGGCATATGTGCTTGCATTCCCAAAATCCCAAGAGGAGGATGGAGGAGAAGGGATTGCAGTGTAGCCACCACCTAGGGGTAGAGGGTGATGATTTCTCCCTTTCTGTCTCTCTCTGTCTCTCTGGCAAGCACACATGCCCTACAGCAAAAATGTCTCTCCAAATTAAAAAGAAAAAATTGTTTCTCTTTCTGCTACTACATACAAAAGTATGTATATAAATATGCGTGTAGGTGAAAAGATAAGAGTGATTTGGATATTGTATAGTATGGCAAATTAAAATCTATTAGCTGATTAAAAATATAAACACAAAATCAAAATGATAAATTATGAACTCACAGTAGGCTCCTCCAACATTATTTACTGATAGTTTTACACCTTCCATTATAAATGTCTCAATGTCATCTTCTCACTACTCCATTCTTCACATCTAAACCTTGTCTTTTTCACAGTAATGTGACATGACCACAGATACTAGTGGCCAGTACAGAACCGTGCCTTTTGTAAATAACTTCCCAGTTTTATTCAGTTAATAAAAGGTTTTTTTTTTTTTTTTGGAGAGGTTTTTCGCTATAGGGCACGTGCGCTCGCCAGACAGACAGAGAGAGACAGAGAGACAGAAAGAGAGAAATCACCCCCCAGGGGGGATGGTCACACCACAATCCCTTCTCCTCCATTCTCCTTTCAGGATCTCGGGCACGCACGCACACGCGCCCGGCGTGAGATTTAAGCCACCGGGTCAGGACGCGAACCGCGGTCAACTATGTGGGAGTCCAGCGACATAGCAATTACGCTAACTGCTGGTTCCCAATAAAAGTATTATTTTTAAGCTTTTAAAAGTATGTCTGTAATAGGCTTAAAGGCATATGGAAACTAAGTTTTATACCATCATCTACTTAAGTTCTCAATCTATTATCTCCTAAAATTCATAAAAATTTATGAAATGTATGTCTTCTTTAATTAGACAAGGTAAAAACTATGTGCCATTGATCACAAGTAAAGAGTATGGGCTCAGCCTCTGTGGCACAGCTGGTAGTGTACTAAACTGAAGATCTGATTATTTTTAAAAAAAGGAGTACAAAAGGAATTCAAAGAGTATTTCACATCCGTGTAGAGGAAGAATTAACTACATCTATGAAGATGCACACACTTAACTAACATTTCCTTCTCTGGCTTAATTTTAGTTTCTTAAGGTTTTTCTCTCAACTCTGTAACATTTCACTTGTCATTTTGCCTGCATTCAGCCAAATGAGACAAAAAAATATCATTTCATGTATTTCTAAATCTCAACTTTTAACTGTACTGATTGGGTAAGCATTTATTGTCATTCTTACATAAGGTATCATGACTGATGTAAAAGATGATGAAAAGATAACATTCCTGCTCTGAAGGTCATGGTTTGGTAGAAAAAATATAAGAATAAACAAACAAGTCCAAAACAATGATGAGTGTTATATTAATGGGAACCCACAGAAAGGTTAGCTAAACTAGGAAAACTGTCTAGAATGATGTACAGAAATCAAGAAGGAAAAGTTAAGCAAACAAAGGTAGAGATAATAGATGGAAGGCAGGAAGACAATACCCAAGATAATGAAAATAACACATGTAAAGGCTCATGGCTCATTACTGAAAAAGCTAGTAACTTAATAAACTAAGATTTTAAAAAAAAATGGAAGAAAGAAAAGAAAATGAAAAAGAAAAAGAAAAAACAAGATATTAAGCTGTTAAATCACAATCAGGTCATGCATGTTCTAAAGAACTTAGATTTTATTATGGAGACAAAGATCTACTGTAGAAGTTGGGGTGCAGGTGCATGCAAGCCTCAAATCCGAAAAGACCGAGACATGGAGGAGAAGGGATTGTGGCATGACTATACTCCATGGGGGCATGCTCTTTCTCTCTCTCTCTTTCTGTTTCTCTCTGGCAAGTACATATGCCCTCTGGCAACTAAAGAAAAAAATAAAATAAAAAGAGATCATCTAGTACAATAACCCAGACAAAAAATTATTATGTCCTGAACTAATCTGATATGGAGATAAAGAGGGGGGAAAATTCTAAATATAAGATGGTAAAATAGACAGCACTTGGAACTGACAATAGAGGACTGATTACTTCTCTACATCTCTTTTCTTTCCATCTTATCCCTGAAACAGTCCTATACCTTAACTCTCTTGTAATTTTCATCTTTATTATTCTTAGTCCTTCTACTAGTCTATTTACATGATGATCTTAAGAAGCTCCTAATATATGCACATCAATGCAGATCACTTTTCCATCCAGATAACTCCCAGTTGCAGTTTAAAATATATATATTATCTTTCTCTCTTCGTGGTAATAAATTCACACGTGCTCCACTCATTTCCTTATGTTTTTAATGGCTCTTTTACTCCTCCGATTAGCTTCCCCATTAATTCCTGAATTTGTTTCTTCCAAACCAAAATTCTAATCTGTAAAACCATTTGCGTGGCTTGGATGTCAAATTCCAAGACTGTTATTGTAGCAAGGAAAGGGGCACACAGTAACTAGTCAGGATTTAAAAAGTATAGCAAAATTAGGGATTCTGTTTTATGATCTATGCATGTGAATGCATCTACAGACTGAAATCAAGGCTTAATTTTAAGACTTTGCAATTCTGAGTTCTTGAGATTGATTATTCGATAACGAAAACTTACTGCATTCTTTAATTAAAGTAGTACCACACATGATAATGAACAATAATACAAAATGAAACAAGAAAAGCAAGAAACATACCTGAATTCTCTACAGAGGAGAGGATAAATAAGGCGTTTAAAGGAATCATCCAGGGAACTATATAAGATCTTCATTAACTCTGGCCTTGCAAAGCCACGTGGTCTCCACCTGCAAAAAAAGAAAACCCCATACTAAAACAATAATGAGAACATGAACAGGCTCCCAGAAGAAAGGAGGGGAAGGGCAGAATAAAGACGAGGGGAAAAACCTTTACTGAAACCAAAATAACAATTTGTGAAGCGAGGTTGTGGTATCTGGAAATTACTACTATAATGTCAGGAGTTATTTTTAAAAATCTAGTAAATATGAAATATGAACAGGTATAAAACTTCAGGGAAAGAATTTCTTCTGGGAAGTTGCCAAGGCATTGTTAATAATGGCCAAAATCTTGGAACCAGCAGTTAGCGTAATGGCTATGTTGCTGGACTCCCATGTAGTCGACCATGGTTGGAGTCCCAGACCCGGTGGCTTAAACTCACGCTGGGAGCGTGTGCGTGCGTGCTCAAGATCCCAAGAGGAGAATGGAGCAGAAGGGATTGTGGCATGGCCATCCCCCGTGGGGAGTGATTTCTTGCTTTCTGTCTCTCTGTCTCTCTCTGTCTTTCTGGCGAGCACATATGCTCTATAGCAAAAACCTCTCCAAAAAAAGAAAGAAAAAAAAATGGCCCAAATCTTAACATATATAAAATTCACCAAAAAATTATTACAGCATTGCTGTGAATTGCATATTCTCCTGCACTAAATCCACATGTTGAAGCACTAACACCCTCATTGTGATAGTATTTGGAGATGGGTCCTTTGGGAGGTAACCAGGTTTAGCTAAATGAGATCATGAAAATGGAGCCCTCATAATAGAATTAGTGTCCTTATGAAGAGAAATGCCAAAGAACTTGCCCTGTTTTTCTCCCTTTCTACCAGAGAGGTTGCTGTTTTTCCCCCTCCACCATGTAAGGATACATGGAGAAGACAGCCATTTGCAAGCCATGAATAGAGCTCTCACCAGGAGCTCAACTGGCTGACATGTTGATCTTGGACTTCCAGCCTCCAGAACCGTGAGAAAATAAAATTTGACTGTTTAAGCCATCTCTAGCCCAAAATTTATAATATTTTGTTCTAGCAGTCCAAGTTAAGGCAGACACTGTATCATTCTTTATTCATTTATTTATTTCTTCTGGAGAATAAAAGTAGACTGAACAAAAGAAAGACTGTTTAAAACCCTGCCTGATATTCTTTTCCTTCTTGTTCTTGATCTATGATTTACAGAGGAGAAAAAGAGATGAAAGATATGTATTTAACATGATTTCACTGTATGGCAATCCTCCTGTCCCAGCATCCTAATAAGCCAGGACCAAAGGCACAGACAACTGTCCCCACAGTATGCAGATTGGCCTAGGAACTGAATCCAGGCTTATAATGTGGCTTCCAGCCTCTTAAGTGGTGGCACTATGTGCACCACCATGGCTGGGGCCTGTTGCCATTCTGAGTAGAACTTAATCTATTGTTCAGACCGTATTACTTTATTAGAGAGCATCTGCACACATATGAAGGGATATAAATGCTACACTATTGAAAGAATTGCAGAGAAAATGGTAATATAAAAAGGACAAAACCAGCCCCATCCCTTCTGTGTTTTCATCTATCTATGACATTGCTGCCTTTATCTTTAAATAGTTATTGAATAAAAACCATTAACAAATTATTAATGGTTTCTAATAAACCATCAAAACACTTTCAGGGTAATCTCATCTCTCTTACTTAGACTAGGAAATAAACTAAATTTCAGTAAACATATTTAAGTATTTATTGTGTAATATACTAAAAGTTACATAACAACAAATAATAAAATTCCTTCCATAGAAGGATTTTATTTGAAATTTTAGTTTTGTTCTTTTAATTTAAATGAAGGTGTTTTTTGTTCTCTGTCCATTCTATGGCACTGAATGGGTGAGCGTGTTTCTCGCAATATGGAAACATGTTCAGGATCTCTGCAACTACAGGATGGGAACCTTGATAGAGGGAGAGACTCATTCCCACCCCCAATTTCTTCTCAAGGGACTGCAGATATGCCGGAGACTGTTATTCGGAGGTCGGCGGAATCACTGCTTGGGAAGGAAAGCAAGCACTGTGGCAAAACTTTGTGCATGAGCAAAGGTGACAAAGCAAGAAGTCTCTCTCATCAGATGCTGACATCTTGACACTGGAGTTCCTAACTGTCAGAACTTGATCTTGGAAACTATATGCTCAAAATGGAGGAATTGTGAGGGAGAAATAGCTACAATCTCTAGGAAACTGCTAAGAAGAAAGCCGCCCAGAAAAACTAATAAACTGGAATCACCCATCAACATTAAGCTTTGCATGAATGAGTGATAAACTCATATATGCATTGGGAAAGATATTTTACTAAATCAGGAAAGAACTGAACACATTTCAATAGGAAATATTGAAAGGACAACTGCTTCTCCAACTCCAATAGTAAGGGACAGACTTAAAAAAGACATTAAATCAGAGCCAGCAGGTAACATGGTGGTTAAGGCACTGGACTCCTACATACCCAACTGCAGTTCAAGTCCCAGACCTGGTGGCTTGAAAATCACACCAGCTGCATGTGCATAAATGTACCCAAGATTTCAGGAGGAGAATGGAGAAGAGGGGATTGTAATGTGGCCATTCCTCATGTGGGATGATTTTTTCACTTTTCCTCTCACTCTCTCTCTCTCTCTTTTTCTGGAGAGTGTATATGCTCTACAGCAAAAACTTTTAAAAAAGCAAATTGAACAAAAAAAGTGGTATAATGTTACCTTGGAAAATGAGAGTGAATGTGGCCCTCCTCCTACATAGTCTCTGAGCCACTTAAATGAGGCACAAATTAAATGAGGCACAAATTAAATGAAGAGAGTGACCAAAACTGAGAGGGAAGAAACAATCAGGATGATGAATTATATCTGGGAAAGGCATGTTTGTGCTCTCCTTACTTGCACATGAAACTTTGGTAAAGGGAATATATTAGAAGTACATTAAATTTTAAAGAAATTATAATGGTACATAACCCATGAAAATGGATGGAATGGAAAATACTATTATGAGAATTAAAACTGTAAAACTACTTTTTTGGGTGGGGAGGAGGAGGAGAGGGTTTAATAAAGCTCTATAATTCCCAAGGAGATATATTTCTAAACATCCACTTCAATAAAGACCAAGTGAATGAAAAAGGAAGAAAGAATTGGAATACAGAGCCAATATCAGTCTTTCATGTTTGAGGCTTAATTTGACTGTGTGAGTGTGTGTGTATGTATAAATTCATTATTGATATTTAAAATAAATGTGAAGAAATTAATAAGTATTACATGTATACAGTCCATCAACATTCAAAAAGTGAACATACCATAACCCAATCCCACAAGAACATCCAAAAATGAAGATACATTACCAATACCACTAAAGCCCTGTTCCTGTCCCCTCTTTCAGTCACTATCATCATATTGAATAACCAGATCTATGTTACCTGTTTCCAATCTTCATATACATGCATTTAACACCATGTATTCTTTCAGGCCTTTCTTCCTTCACTCAAGATTTACCCATGTTGTTAGGCATAATTCATTCTCAATAATATGGGGAATATAATGATAATATTCTAATATTAAATATATTTCTGCATTCAACAATTTATGAATAGTTAATGAATTGTCTTTGATGTTCTTATATGTCTTTTGTTGTTCAAACTGTATCTTTTCCAATTCTTCTACATAGTAAGAAACAGATATAAACTTTTCAATTATAATCTATTTCTCACTTAAGTTCTTGCATTTTGGGCTTCATTTATTCTGATGCTCTGACAGTCACATTTGGTGGACATACAGTCACATTTGGGATTATTACTTCTTATTGATTCAATATTTTTATTATTATGAAGTATTCATTTTATATTTATCTTTCTTTTAAAATATTTTTACAGACATTGACAACTCTACTAATTTTCTACTTAGTGTTTTTCTACTTTGTTATTTTTTACTTCTCTGCACCTTTATACAGTATGTCTCACATGATTAATTTACAGTTGGCCTTCTTTAAATTCCATTTTAATATGGTTTTTAAATTTCATTTTGACAATTTCTGTGTTCGATGGGAGCATTTAGTTTAGTTCATTTAATATGATTATTGACATGCCTTGTTTTAAGTCTTTGGTTTTCCAGTTTTAATTATTTACTTGCATATTACTCTCTTCCTCCTTTCCTTCCTCCTTTTGGCTGAAATGCACAGTCCTAATATACTTCTTTTTTTTTTTTTTTTTTTGGAGAGGTTTTTTTT